GTGTGGAGCAAAGCCTTTCCCCCCCTCCGCCCCGCCCCACATAGCACAATTTTATGTTTTTGCCCCGCCCCCGCTCCACCCCGCATAAACCCGCCCCGCATAATTTACTCCTTTTTTTAATTAAAAGAAATATACCAGATTCTCTCTTTACTGCTAACGTTGAAATAATATATATATCTTCATTTTACAATCCAAGTTGAAGAATATATATATAAGTTGTAGAATATATATAGTTCATTAACTGAAGCACTAAACTAAGCTTAGGTCCTCTACCAGCTTTTTCTTTCCTTCTATATATAGATTTGATTAGTGATGTACTCTATTAATTATACAAGAGTTATTAAAGTTTGTCGAATTAGAGGGGAGTGAAATTATTACTTAACTATGAGTTAATGATAATTATGCCATGCATTAAAACAATTATGACATTACTTGACTAGCCCCCCGATTTCCCAGAACAATTTTGATATACTCAAAGTCCTTTCCTATTCCAGTTACGTACTACTACAAAAATTCTTGAACATATTTATGATTTTTAAAAAACTCCCCAACCCACGTACCACCCCGCATGTTTTTCTTCAAAAACCTTATGTACCCGCCCCGCTCCACCCCCGCAAAAACACTAACCCTCCCCGCCCCGCCCCATTGCCATCCCTAAATCCATACTGCATATTGCCACAAATAAATTTTCCATAAATAAGAATTCTCTTTCCTAACATTAATGTGTGTGTGCGTGTGTGTATATATATATATATAAGAAAGGTAGACAGTATGTGACAGGTTGCTAATGTCAATGTGCCGCTAGACAATAGCAACCCACATGGAGGACTTTGGGTTCACATGTACCCACGCTCCTCCCCGTACCATGTATAATGCAGGTACAACTCTTACGAACTTACATATATGTAACTTGGGCACCCAGGGTGATAAGGTGTGCATGCTAAGGAAAAAAATTGTCCTTGGAGTCAGGAAATCAAACCCCTCTTTGGTATTCTTTTCTCTAGATAACTTTTGCTTTTAAAAAAAAATCTTTTATATTTTCTCCCTCTTTGTTCGAAGTTTAGTCCCATATGCTAACGAATCCCTTCATTATCTTGAATCTCATCCTCGGTGTCATCATTATAGTAAGGTGTTGGTACTTCTTTAATACCAAAGTTAGAAATCATATTATCCAAAACAAATTCAAGATCCTGTTAGAATTTAGGTAGTGGATAAAACAAACAAATGCTACCTTTTGTACTGCGCTTTTTAAAATTGTTAAGAACTCTAGTGCTATGGTTACCTTCTTACAAATATCATCATGCAATAGGCTACAAGAAAGAGAACATTTGCTAGTAGCTTGAGATTTCAAAACAAAGAATCTATTTCTATGAAGACAACAGTTCCCAACTCTTTTCTATTAATCATAATTGTTCCATAATACAACTACGGTTACATGAAACAGGATAACACGAAAAACAAAAAAAATCAAGAGGAAAAGGAAAAAATTAAGGAGCATCAGCCATTTGATCATTTGTATATAACAGTCATTTGCTTCCATAAGTTTTATTACTTACCTCAACTCAATCTATTTTCTCAATCTAGCGTTAAATAGTCAGACCTATTATGAACATTCAATTTCACTCTCAACAAGTAAAGCTTATTCAAGAAACTGGTAAGGAAAAGTATTGTGTTGTGTTCAAATTTCATTTAGTTTCAAGATTGGAGTATGTACAGTAAGACCGAAAAATAATCCTCTAAGAAATTTCAAAAACTGTACATATATCAGTATTACTTCAATTTAGTTTTGACTCATAATGAAGATTTAAAAGTTCTTTTAGACCTTAATATTCTTAATCTACTTCCTGTTTGCAAGACTCAAAGTCAGACAAAAGCTTCAAAATTTTAATTTTAAATAAATCGAACAATACCAGTTCTTGCTTCTTAGTCTCAACAAGATAAACTTCTAACCACTTTTTGTAAATTCAATCACATTTTATCGAGATTATAGAATCAACGAATTATAGATACACATTTAATTTTTATTACCTTACATTTCATATAATTAAATCGAACGTCTATTTTAAAGGTGGTACTGCAACCATCTTGAAATCATTGGTAGTTTAGAATGGTAAGGAAATGAAGCTAGTATCTTCGACAATGTGATTTCAAATCGTCCAAGCATCTGAATCCACAATTTTTTTAATTTTGAGAATTGTAACAATAAATGTGTCCACAAAGTTCTCATCCCTAAATGTAGTTTATCCACTTTTTACCGCTTAAGAGCAAATGAATACCATGATGTAACGCTTCAAAAAATCTCATGTCATAGATTAAAGCATCTTAAAACACTTGCTACCAGTGGCGTACATATATATATATATATATATATACGTCTTTTAAAAAAATAAAAGAAAAATACTTTTAACTTATTTTGATTGAGCTTTTTTTTAAAAATGTATTCAAAATATAATAAGTAGTACTAAAGTGAGAGAAGGGCAAAAGAATATAAAATAATAAGTACTCCGTGCTAAAGTGCGGAAGAAGGTTAAAAAAACAAAAAAAATTGTATAAAAATTGAGGTTATGCAGGTTTGAGCCGGTGATCTCGGCTTTAAAAATTCAAAGTCTTACCAACTGAGCTACGCACTACTTTTGCTTAAGAAGTGTCACCTTGTAGTATATATCTCTTTTATCTGTTTTTCCCTTCTAATCGTACATCCACATTTAGTAAATTTTCTCGTGGAAGCAGTGTCACGTGACACCCTATAGCCCTTCTTAAATCCGCTCCTACTTGCTACTATCATGTTCTACATATATATGAGGTAGTTAATTTTTAAAACTTATTATCCATTTCAGACAGGGCTGAATGAGTTCACTTCCTTCAAATGAAAAATGAGAAATAAGTTAACCATCAAAACGAATGGACATTTGCTTTCCATTTGCAGCCAACAAAACTTGTTTCCTAAGTATGACAGAACAACAAATCCTAATCATAATAGTGATATAGTCATATATTGACTTGATGTAAGGATTTCAAACTAATGTGGAAAACCACGAGGCATAGCGTAGTGACAGAAATACCAGCAACTCATCGAAACCTCATCTAAAGCCCTTAGACTCTTGTTCACAAATATGATAGAAGCAACACCAATATGGTAAAATGTATGCATAATGCACCCCAAAGTATACTATACTAGTTGAAATTTACCAAAATAACGAGAAACCATTTCTTCAAAGCTACTAAGAAATTCAAGGAAAAAATGTGAATTCCAAAGTCACCAAGGCATCGGTTAAACCTTCATTCGCACACTACTAAGGGTATACATAGATGGTTCAAAATCATTAAAAGCTATTCAATTTTGAGAAGTATCACGATCAGAATCATCATCAACGACAACATACCTAGTGTAGTCCCACATAGTGAGGTCTGGGGAGGGTAGAGTATACGCAGACCTTACCTCTACCTCACCTCAGAAGTGAGGTAGAGAGGCTGATTCTGATAACAGTATCGCGATCAACATACACATCAAAAATCTTGCAGCGTCTTAATTAAGCATAATGTCCAAGAAAACCCAGAACATCAGAAGCTACAATTGATGCCTTTCCAAAGGCTTCAATCCAGAAATAAGAAAACAGATGTTATTCAACAAAAGGAATCAAATTGACTGACCCTTTAACTGATCACACACTCTAATCAACAAATTTTGTGAGAAAGTTGAAATCTTTACATCCTAACAAGAAAAACAAGAAGATAAACTAACTAAAACACTGATGGGGTTGATGAGAAATTGAAAATTTACCCCTGTTTTACCAGGAATAGAGCAGTGCCACACCATCAAGTTCACTGACCCATCTGGAAGTGTCTCAGGTTTAGCCACAAACCCCTACACAACAACCAAACAAAAACATCAAAATCTTGAAATCAAAAGACCAAAAAAGCACTAAAATTAAGAAATACTTGGAAAAATCTGAGCTTTTCATCTATATAAGTGAAAAAAGAGGAGAGAAATCAAACATGGGGATGATTCTTGCGCCAAGCTTTGCGTTCTTCAGCAAGACGGCCACGAGCAATACCTGCAGACATTGTTGTCTCTCAAGTCTTATCTCAAAAAACAACAAAAAGAAGCAAAGTATTTGAAGCTTTGTTGGCTGCGCTGCCATTTTAAAGAGAAATTTTCTTGGGAACAAAAAAATTTAGGGTCAAGATATGTGATCCAAGTTGAAAATTAGAAAATTATTTTTTAAATGTTGGATTTCGTGGAAGAGATTATAAGACGGGAAATCGAGCTCTCACTAATAAAATAAAAAGTTCAAATAGTCTATCAATTGAGTTAGTAAGATTCTTTGATTAGAAAATATAATTAGCATTTGAAATTGAAGTTGAAACTCAGCATTAATCTGATTTAAAAGTGTGAATGAAAATTATAATTTTACTTGAAATACTTCATAAAATAGTTCTCTATTAATTTATAAATACTATTTAATCATTTGCAAGTGGAAATTATATACAAATATGTATTGACACTGTGGATTGATCCTTTCTTTATATGAAGTGTTTTTTTCCAAAATGAGTTATAGACGACAAAAATTTAAATGAACAACTTTTACATATAACAAACATAAAAATTATATTTGTATGTTACAGTTATAGTTTGCATAATTGCGCTCTATAACAAATTTTATGTTTGTTATGGAGCTTTTGATTTGTATAATACGTTACAAACATCCAATTTTATATAAATTGTTCAGTTTTGTATAAATTCATTTATACATTGTAATTTGTAATTTGTATAATAAAATCTGTATTTGTATAATTATAAGTGTATAGGACGAAAATATTTGTATTTGTATATACACTTCTCTCTCGCTTTATACAAACACAAACGCATTTTATACATTTTATACCGAAATGTATAAATGTATAAAATGGCTAATTGTATATCGAAAATGGCTAATTGTATACCAAATCAGATGGCAAAAAAAAGGGAGATATTTGCTGCGAATTACAATTAAAATAAACTATGGCTACAGTATTTAATTCGAATTAATAGTTTGTTATTTCATACAATTTTTCCAATTTAAATTAGTTAGGCTTCAATGCAATATTAGAGATACCAATACAGGATAAGAAATTGGAAAACAAACTGACAAGGTTGCGTCACTTTATGTTAGTTACTAAATATTTAAATTGTAAAATTATATTTAGTCGGGTTTTAATATAGGTATCAAACACGAGTGAAAAAATCAGGACAAACAAAAATCGGTAATAAATTGAAGTTATAAAACATTGAGTTGCCAACAGTCAAGTTGTAAACTGTATGGGTAATATGCTTCATTTATTTATTAAATTGGTTAAAATATTGAACGAAAATAAATTTCTTCAAGAAGGTGTTCATTATTCTATATATAAATATTATATCCTTTGCAGCAAAATAATAATAAAAAATAGGTCAGGATATTATACACCAAATCAGAAAATGCGAGATGTTTGCATGTCTTTCTCCACATTTCTAACTTAATAAATTTAAAAAAAAAATCATTATTCTCTTTGTCTCCATTATATATATAATGGTATTTTATTGAGTATGAAATTTTCTTTTTTAAAAAAAACTAAGAGAAAGTTTTTTAAACTTTGCCATCCGAAAAATCAAAATAAATTATATATATATATATACACATACATATAAATTATTTCAATAAAATGAAAACAATAATATAAAATTATTATTAAGTACAAAAAATGTGTAATTTTTTTAAAAATTAATTTTAAAGAGTGATAAGTAAATTTGAAAAACAAAAGTAAGTGAACATTTCCATACAAATACTCAACTTGAATATTGAGACTCACAGAATTGGACGGTACAAATTAAATCAACAACAATTCACGAATATATTTTTACTTGTTTAATTTTACTTTCGTCCTAGTTAGTTGTACTTTTCGATTTATCTAGTTTAAAAAATTAAGAAATAATTTATCATTTAATATTTATCAAAATATTATATTTAAAAAATAATAATATAATAAAATTATCTTTTTTTAATCCAAGTACAAATAGATTTTATATTCTTTTGTAACCTTTGTGGTCCTTATTTTAGTAGGTTTTTAATTAAGAAGTTAATGAGTTGAAATTTATATTATAGCGTTAAAACAACGCAAATATGTATGTGGGCTCACGTGGGAAATGGATGGTTGGTATCGCTAGTCGATGTACCTTGAGGGTCTATGGACCGTAGTTGACGTAAAATATTAGTTTTTGGGATCGTCATTTAATTTATATTTAAAGTTAACTTTTCGATAAATTTACTTGTTTTGGAATTTACTTCATGTATATGATCGAAAGTTGAAAATTTATGTTTGACCCAAAGCATTTTCGTTTCAAGTGTATGTTTGTGAAAGCCGAACTTAAGACATTTGGTGTGGTTTGGCAGGATCAATTTCGAACATTTTTATTGAAATTGTGAACTTTGCACAGCTAAATAATACTTTTTTTTACTGAAGTTTTATCTGACTAGTCAAGACCAATTTCAAATACTTTTGACTTAAGTATGTTGTAGATATTGAAATTTAGTGAGATTCTTTAAGATGAGTTTAATTTTAATTAGAATTTTTGGGGTTACTTTATCATAAATTTTAATTTATGCTATATAAAGGCTAATATATTCCCTTGAAGAGGTATCTCAAAAATTTCTTAAATTGATAAAATATTCACAAAGAGATCAAGATGTGGTCGAACTCTTCTTGACTATCAAATACTTCAAGAAAATTCACAAAATTCTCATTACATGGAAATCAATTAATTCTCAAGAAGGTCCAAATCATCGATGTTTGAGAAATATACTATTAACGACCATCGAATCATGAAGAAAACTCAGGGAGAAGAATCAACGGAACAAATAGAATTATTTCCATATTGTATATTAACAAATAGAATTATTTCCATATTCACCATGCGTTTGGCCATAGATTTTGGGAGAAATATTTGACTTTTAAAAAAAATATGATTTATACCTATAAATTCTAAAAATTATTTTAAATACATATAAGTTTGTATTATCATTTTATAATGAAAATATTTCGTGGAAAGCCATGACACGAACTTAATTAATATGAAGTTGAAAACAGAGGAAGAAAACAAAAGAAAATATCATTAATTTGTATGTGAAAACTACTATTACTACTTGTAATTGCAAGTGACTCCGGAGAGTAAACTTGGATAAAAATTATATAAAATATGTATATAGCGGTATAAATTTTGTACAATAAACTAGGAACGAAATTTAGTCCAATACTATAAATGATGAGTGTTTCTATAAAATATAAAAGTTTGGGGTAATTTTTAAATTTTTAAAAATTTTCAAATACTTGAATTTGGTCCAAATTCTAGTTTTTGTTTAGAACTTGGTATGTTGGTCAAATATATTTGTCAAGTAATGACAAATTATATGACCAAACACTAATTCACAAAAAAATTCCAAGTTTTTCTCAAATATATTTGTGGCATTAGATATGCAAAACGCCACATAACCGCAAAAATAGAAGCTTTATTTTATGAGTACTTCAAATCTCGTCTTTGAGTTTCATCAAGTCTACACTCCGATAAGTCTTAAAGTAGGGATATTTGTAGACATTGTAATTTTGTGGGACTCTACAAGATGAGTTCTATTTTAATTTGGGTTCTTGGAGGCTACTCTACCCAAAATCCTAATCCATGCCTATATAAAGGGTAATATATTCCCTTGAAGAGGCATCTAAAAAATTTCATAAATTTATGAAATATTTACAAGAAGATCCAAACGTGATCGAACTCTTTTTTACAATCAAATCACAAAATCCTCTTTACATGGAAATCAAATATATCCAATGAGGTTCAAATCATCTTACGTTCGAGAAATATTGTCACGATTCAATCCATCATGAGAGACATCTACATTAAACCCCTGATGGGAGAATCAACTATCTACTAACATGCAATACCCTAAACAACTAGAAGGAAATAATTTTCATAAATTAAACAAAGTATTGAAGGTAAAGTTGTACTTATTGAAAGTCTGCTTCAAAAGGTATTCATATATACTTGCTATCTACAGTTTCCCCTACTAAGTACACTATTAATGAGATCCATGAGATCTTTGCTAGATTTTTTTGGAGCACAAAGAAAGACGGTAGGAGTAGGCATTGGGTATCTTGGTAAAAGTTGTGCCTACCAAAAAAAGAGGATGGATTAGGCTTTAGATCTCTTCATGATATTTCTAAAGCACTATTTGCTAAACTCTGATAGAGATTTAAAACTATTTCTTCTTTATGGTCTAATTTCATGTGGAATAAATATTATAAACAGAGGTATTTTGGGAAAATGGATCTCAAATATGGAAGAAAATGATTGAGGCAAGAGATCAAATGGATGGGAATATCTGGTGATAGATAATAAGTGGTACTTCTGACACTTAGGAGGATAACTGGACTAGTTTGGGAGCTGTAAAATCAACTCATCCAGATTTTATAAGAGCTCCTAATATTAAAGAGTCGAAGTTTTTCATGGATTCAAGTGGCTGGAATAGAGAAAAGCTTCACCAATACCTTCCTGAATTAGTTGTTGAGCATGCTCACAAGAAACTTCAATATAAATATCTTTTTGAGCTTTCTAATCATCTTTAGTGGATGAAAACTAGCTCTGAAAAATTTACAGTGAGCAGTGCTTGGGAAGAGATCAGACAGAAAGGTCACAAGAAGGAAGAATATGTTTTCATTTGGAATGCAAGGGCATCTTATAAAATTTGTTTCTATTTGTGGAGGTTGTGGAAATACAAAATTCCTGTGAATGAAGTGTTGAAGACGCAGATGATAAACCTAGTTTCCAGGTGTAAATGTTGTGAAAAAGTTCAAAGGAAAATAATTGATCATCTCTTTATCAATGGAGAATTTACAGAATCAATTTGGAAATATTATGCAGATGCTATAGGGCTACTTGACCATTTCATTCAGGTTCATCAAGCAATAAAAAAGTGGTGGGACATAAGACATTGTGCAAAACTTACCATTCTTCAAGTTGTTCATGCTTATATATGTTGGCAATTGTGAAAAAGAAGGAATACTATAGAGTA